TCGAACGAGGGTGGCGACGAATTGGATATATATATATATATATATAAATATATATATATATATATATATATCACGCAGAAAGAAGAGCCCCGCGGTGGACACCCTGGCGCAGCATCAGGTGACAACATCCACGGTGGCAACTTCCCACGGCAGTACGAGACGCCCTAGGAGGGCTGCGGCGAGATGAAGCACGCTGCCAAAGCCCTGGCCAACATAATAGAGGAATGACAAGAAGAGCCCGAGCCGACTCCAGAGACAGCGGGGGGTGAAGCTGCAACGGCGAGAGGAACCGAAAGACCTGCGACAGGAGTACAGCGTCCTCGATTCAACTCCCACCTCGCTGACGACGCGGCCCAGGAGACGGCCTGGGAGGCAGCCGAGGAGACAACTGAGGAGGCCAGCGAGGAGAACGAGCCACTCATCCCAGGGCCGAATTACGTCGGGACCGTAGTTGTCTACGTCCTGCTCCCCGACGATAACAACAACCTCGACTCCTTGGTCCATCGTCGAAGTTCCAGGCAAAGGTGCCAGAAAATGGTCGCCGCTCCAGGAGGACACGCCGATCGGAAAGAGTTGGATGTTGCCCGCAAGCGGAACCTGGACTTCGTTTTCGTTGCCGGGTACTCAGCAAGTTGGGTGCTTGGCGAAGAGGCTGGACTGCGCGTCCCTCCGGACAGCCTGGCGGGGATTCCTGGCGACAAGACGGCGATCCCACCTCGCAAGAATGACGAGTTCATCCACTTGGGACAACCCTAGGTGAAGGGGGCGCAGTATCGTTCTCGTAAAGAGGTAGTGTATCAGGGTGTTCGCGTACGACTCTGGAGCTAAGAAGGGGGCGTGGCACGAGGGTGCGCGGTGCCAACCGAGGACATGTATATGTCACGCACAATAGATAACACTGCCAGGCTCCGCATCAGCACCACAACCCCGTATGCCGCGCCCCTTTCCGACCTCCAGAACGACCTCGTTGCGCTACCAGACCGTCTACCAGCGCGCGATCCGCCGCAGCTCTACATCGCGACTGCGGAGAAGGAGAGGATCCCGCAGATGGAGCAAGACATGGCGAAGCAAGCAGAGGCGACGAAGGACGAGCCGTCTGAGCTCGACAGAATCGGACGTTGGCCTAACGATGATGTGGTAGACTACCTTGCGTTGAAGAGCCGTGTTCAGCCGAACACTGAGGATCCGATCCTCGACGCGACCTTCAACGGTCCCACGTCGGAGATGATGGCCGTGCATCGTCTATATCCGAGACAGCCTACTTTTCGTATGTGGCTGAAGCTTCTATCGCAAATGCCATTCGGCATCGTCCTCGGTCGGTTTGATTGAATCGTGCAATGCGTTCGGGGGCGAGCTCGTGCGGAACTAGCTGAGGGCAGGAGGCGAGAGCGGTGATTGCGAGGCCCTTTGCGCGTACTTCCAGGTGTGCACGGATACTGGGATCCAGGACCCTTCCGATCTTTATCCGGTGCCAGATCTCGTCTGTACGCCATTGGGTGACCTGCCTGGTTGGGGCCCCCGCGACGCTGGCCATCACCCTCCAGCATGAAACGCGACGAGCTTCAGAAGATGGCGCCCTCCCCAGGAGGAGAAGGCGTTTGTCGTCGACGGCCGCGGGGAGCTGGCGAAAGAAGGCGAGGAGGCCACCGCGGACATGGTGGACCAGGTCAATATCCTCGGTGAGAGAAACGGGCGAGAAGAGATGGCATACAAGTTGGAGAACCTCATCGGGTTGTCTGGTGCCGCGGGGATTTTCAAGTCAAAGGATTCGTCGAGACCCTCCACCACTGGTCGGCACCGTCTCGGAGGCCATGAAGGCCGCGGTGACTATTGATCACTGCGCCCCTGCTCCAGAACTGGAAGGACCCCCCACTTGGACCTGAGGAAATGTACATCAGCGCCCGCTGGAGAAAGGCCTGCCAGCTGTCCAGGAAGAACAAGTCTGTCTTCAACAGGAAAATGAGCGACCACTGGAAGACGCCTTCACTATGATTGTTTTGGCCGCGTTGGTTCTGGGAGCTCAATTTGGGAGACCCTCGCCCCCAAAGGATCCCGCTTTACTCGCGAGCATCGCTCAGGACTCATCGATGGTCCTCATGGCAAGGGGCCGCTGGCGCATCCAACAGGACAGTGGTTGATGATGGATATGGCACCGATATGCGCTAGGGAGATGCAGCGTGGCTATGAGCTCAACAAGACGGAGGCCCAGATCGAGACTGTCTGATTGGCAGCACTGACATCTACCTGGAGCAACAAGGGCCTGTTCGAGTTGAAGCCAGTTCATTCGAGCTGCGCGAACGTCAACGGCATGTTCTGCGAAAGGACACTTCGCGGTACCTCTTGCACCCGCTAGGCGGTGCGTGCGTCGTCTGACGTCAGCCCGGTGACGAACCTGTACGCTGGAATTTTCGAGCTGCTGTTAGATCGCAATCGTCGCGCAGGCCGTGCCAACATGCGCGCCCGGAGGCAGTGGTGCCAGACCGATGGCAGCGCCCACGTCGATGCGCTTTGGATTCGCGCGACGACGACGAGGGAGATCTGGAACATGGTGCAGGTGAAGCAGCAAGTCTTTGGGTGTCACAGGCTCTTGAATCGCACCGCCAGCATAAACTTCGCGGCGCAGGCCACCCCGACGGCTTTTTCGAGTGCCCACGCGTGCCCAGACAAGACGATCGAGGACTCCGACTTCCCAACTCTCGAGGTCAAGCTGGTTCCCGAGCTTGGGGGGCGGTTCCTCAAAGGGCCAGGGGGCTCAGCGCAGCAGGTCGTTTTCTAGAGCGCCCTGGCCAACAGCGCGACCAACGCGGTGTCGAGCCGCAGAGTTTCATGGGTCAGATGGGACAAGTTACGGGCGCCGCGAAGTCGGCATACCTCACCGCGGACCCCGGGTCGGACAATCTTTTGAAGGATCTCTTTTTAATGCCTACGTGTTCGTGGAGCTGTGCCGGCTGCGCGTCGCTGGGGCTCTTCTAGCGCTTGGAATGGCTGCGGCATCTGCTGCGGGGGGATTTTATGTGCTCTGGCGAGGCGGCGTTCCGGCTGCAAGAAAAGGTACGAACTGCGGTTGTCAGGCCCGCGTCGGCCTCTCCTCCTCCCGCGCCTCTCTCCGCGCCCCCTTGCGCCTCGCCAGTCGGCCAACGGGGGCCCTTGAGCTATCGTGGCGCGTCGGTGACGGACGCGCCCGCGCCTCCGTAGAAAGGAAGGAGAACGCGCTCTCTTCTTGCAGGGGTCCCCTTATTTGTACTTCGCGTCTCTTTCTGTGCCCGCGCTGTCACCCCCGCGCAGTCCACGAGGTCGAAGGGGTTGGATTTCTCGCTCGCGCCCACGGCATTGATTCGTGGCGCAAGAAGCTCTACGAGGCCGCATCCTACGCCCAGTCGGGCGTCGGCCGTCGGCGAAGTTCAACGGGCCGCCGAAGAGGTTGAAGGCTTCGCGAGAGATGCCACTGGCCCATGGTGAGCCTGCTAGCCAGCGGGGTTCCTGCGGGCGCTGAGTGCCTCCCGCGGGCGCGGGTGTGCGCGTCCTTAAGGCCCACTCCAGCCCCCTGAAAACTGGCCTCGTCCCCCTCCCCTTTCAGAAATAAGGCCCTCGGTCCTCCCATTCCGCCCTCGAGGTCGGGGTCCCGGGGCCGCCGTCGTCAAACCGCGCGCGATCCGTCAGGTCGCCGCGCGGGCTCCGCGCGCCAGAACACTTGGGCGCTGTCGGAGCGCGAAAGGCAAGGAGGAGGGATGAGGAGGGAGAGGGCTGAAGGAGGGCCAGGTCCTCCAACCCGCTCTTCGGAATCGGGTCAACACGGTGCGGCGGTATTCGCGCACGCGAAGAATGCATGCAGCACCCGTCACACAATCGCCAGGGCAACAATCGTTAAGGGTAGTTCCAGGGATATTTGTTTTGCATGTTTTTTTTTCCCGCGCGGGGGGGCAGGATTTGTCTGACCCAGCCGGCGCCAGCAGTAGTCAGCAAAGGTCCTCAGAAACAGCAGGTCGACCGCGCGTTGCTGAAACAGTCTCGCGCGCGGCCCACGCTCACAGGCCTCTTCCAATTTCACCGAGAAGAAGGAGGAGGAGGAGGAGGAGGAGGAGGAGCAGGAGGGATGCGGAGGAGGAGCAGGAAGCGGATCATAACGAGGAAAAGGAGGAGGAGGTGGTGGAGGAGGAGCTGGAGGAGGACTGGCGGCCTTTGTTCCTCTTCCAACTTGGGTGCAGGGCAGCTCCAGCTAGAGTCTCGAAGTCTGGTGCTGGTCAGCACGGCGCGGCATTGAAACGGTGGGCTGCATCCGTCCTCCCCTTGCCCTTAAGGTCTACTCTAGTGCGTTCCCCCCTCCGCGTTTCTCTGGCACGTTCCTTTTTTGTTGTTAACTTGTTTCTTTATTTATTGTTCTCTCTCTCTCGGTCTCTCGTAAACTGTCCTCTCTCCTCTCGTCGATGTCCCACTCTTCTCTCTTATCTTCTGCCCTTCTCCACTCCTCTAGCTTCTCGCTGCTCCCCGACGGCCGATGCTGCTCTCCGACGCCCAGCGACGATGTCGCTGCTCTCCGACGGCCGACAACCGACGCCCACCGACGGCGACCAGCGACGACGCCCAATCGCGGCGCCGCCGCCCAGCAGGCGCGCCGGCGCGCGGGCGAACCCAGACATCCGACGTCGTGGCATGTCTTGTCACAGCGTGGCTCCTGGCCCTTTTCACCCTCCGGTGAAAGGGCCGCCAGAGGCCGAGAAGCGCCAACGAGATTCCGCCGTTGTGTTTTGCGACGCGAGGATGCGTCAGGGCCCCTCCTTGTTCCGGGGAGACGTGAGACTCGAGTTCGCCAAAGCTCGGGTTTGCCGATACTTTTTCACGGGCCCGTCCAGGATTTGGATCTCCCATTTTTCGTGGACTATTTGCAGCGTGAACTCGCGCCGAATTTCAGATTGGGCCTCGTCACGTTCCTGACGGCCCCGCCAGGCCACCCCGAACCCGAGTCTCTGCGTCTCCCCGGTCGTTATGTCAAAGACCAGAAGGACGCCAAGCGGGACGGCCAGCTCGCGGAGCTGGCAGGCCTCGTGCGGCAGGCCGAGGCCTCCGCGCTCGAGCGCGCGGCCGCCGCCGCGCGAGGCGCGGGGCCGCCCGCCCCCTCGCCGCCGGTCGGCGGCGAGCCCAGGGGGGAAGGCCGAGGGGGCGGGGCTCTCCCTGGAGCGGGTGGGATCCGATCGGACCGCATCCCTCCGGAGGCCTTGCGGGAGCACTACACAGGCCGCCACTACAGGCCGCCCAGATATGGGGTCCGAGCAGGTGGGGCCGACGGACCGCGCCGCATCGCCGATGCGCGGGCGATGCGGCACGACTTGGGGGCCGGCGTTCTCCACGCTGAAGTCGCTGATGCATCGCCGACGTCGCGCCGATGCGGCGCGAGCTACTGCCCCCATTACATCGGATACCACGCGGGAGGCTTCTAGGAAGGCAGAGAGGACGGGCCTTCTCAGCCGGCTCAAAAAGCCGCCGTCCTCTGAGCGAGTGGGATCCGATCAGACTCGATCACTCCAGAGGCCTTGCGGTCCATCCCTTCCCCGTTGGGGTCGCCAGCCCTGGCTTTCTGAGGAGCTTTCAAAGCATTCATTCTTCGAGTTCTGATATGACCAGAGGGCTTGTGAAAAGCCCCACCGCCTGCTGAGAAGGCCTGCCCCCTCTGCCTCCCGGAAACCAGATGGGACAGAGCGGGAGGAGCCGGAACGGGATGGGACAGAGCGGGAGGAGCCAAGGGGAGTGAGGTTCATCTATGAACCCCCAGAAATGCAAAGGGCCCCGCCTGGGAGGAGTTAGAGCGGCCGGGACGCCCATGGAAGGTAGAGGGAATAATAGTCCCTGGCCCCCCGGAGCGCGGTACACTGGTGCCGCCCTCTGGCCTTCCGCGGCTCGTCCAGCGGCTACGTCCGCACCCGTTTCTAGCACACGCTTTCGGAGGCCACCCTGGTTCCCCCCCCCCGTTCCACGCTGCACCTGGGGAATGGTGGCCTTGTAGCTCGTTCCGCGCCGCCACTGGGGGCGGGCAGGCACCACGAACTTAAGGGGCCGGCCGACGTGCCTGGTCCTTGCAGTTTTTTGATAGGAAAGGGAGGTGTGTCTGGTGTGGTTTGGGTCGGGTGGGCGGTCTCTCTCTTCGCATCGCGCACGGAGTCCAGTAGGAAATCTGGTTCTGTTTGGGCGGAACTGGAACGGGAGGATCCCCTTTCGGTGTGCACTTGCCCTCTTTTCTCCCTTTTTTCCCTCCCCGCACGGTCGCAGCCTTCTGGATCGGGCGCGTGTTGGTTTCCCCCCCCGCCCAACTCTTTCGCCCGCCGTAGTGCGGGCGGGTGCTGTGCCTACGACTGAACCCCAGCTTCTCGCCACGCTAAAGTAGGCCCCTCCCCTCTCTTCGCGTCCAGACGGAAATCCCAATTCCTAATAGGAACTTGCTGAACTCGCGTCGAGATTCTTCCGAGCCTACAAGATCCGATTGGAGTAGTTCTTCAAATTCCATAAGACGGATCTGGGCCAGCTCACCGTTCGGCAGGGAGGCCATGAGCACAGCGTCGTGCTGAGGTAGCGGGGAACGGGACGAGTGGATTGGAACCAAGAAATCAGAAATCTTGGCCCAATAATAGGTTCGCGCTGGTATCGTCGTTGCCCCAAAATGGCCGAAAAATGGACGGATTATTGGGCGAGAGATTCAACGTGATCTAGGTCCAATACTGTTTTGAAATATGAGTATCGTCGCGGGTGCGGATGCGGTTAAGAAGGCACCTCGCGCCAGGTTTACACGGGGGGGCCTGCGTCTGTGATCGAGCGGGGCCACTGGGTTCGCATAAGCAGGACCAAGGATCGGTGCTGCACGGATTCATCATGGTTCGGCGTCTTTGGTCTAAGAGGGGGGGGGGTGCATTCCGCACAAGAGGGCCACGGTGGAGAGCGCGCGGGGTTGGGGAGAGGGCGTGGGCGGTTCGGTCTTCGCCGCCGCCCCAGCGTTCACATGGGGGCGCCAGCAGGATGCCCGTTGGGCAGCTCGGAAGGGCCCCCGGGCTCCGCTGGTTCCGGGAGCGATCGCCATTGAGACAGTTTCAGTGTTTCCGTCGCCGTGCGTGGGGTGCGTCCAATAGCCCCCCACCCAGGGCAGGGCGCGTGCACCGCTGGAGACTGGACGAGCCCAATGCTCGGGGGCAGTTTTCTTTGCATTTTCGGCCCCGCCCAATATTCTGCACACTTGTTTCTGCCTTAATCTCGGGGCCAGAAAAATCGGCCACGCACAATATTCTGCCCTTTTTGTGAGCGCACGCACCTGTCGGAATTGCGCAGTTTTTTTCGGGCAGAGCACAACAAAAATTGACCATGCACAATTTTGGCCATGGACAATATGTTTGGGGTGGTGGACGACGATGTTGGGCGTGCCACGCGCCTAATATTTTTTGGGCTTGCCCAGTATTTTTCGGGGCCTCCACAGGCTTGAAAATATTATGCTCTGGAATGGGTCGGGGGGTCGTTGCCCTTCGGGTTTCCTCCGGTGTGACTGGGACTCGGCCCGTGGCCCAACCGTCGCCCGACGCCTGCCCCCTGGTGCTCGGGCGCCAGCCCGATCGCGGGGGCGAGCCCCGCGATGGCGCGCCGGCGCACTGGGGGCATGGAGGTGCTTTCGACCACTGCGGCGCGGCGGTCGATGCCCGCCCCCTTTTCGGTGGTCGGTGGCCACTGCTGGTGCTGTTTTGGCCAGAGGGGGTCTCTTCGACCACCGCAGCGCAGGTTGTCCTGGGCGGCCCATGGCACTCCTTTGCTTTTTTCATGCGGCGCGGGGTGTCGACTCAGCGTCGGACACGGCCCGTCGCGGCAGCGTGCTGTCCCCGCCGAGTCCCGACGATTGACGCGCATGCGTTGTCCACTGGGGAGGGCGCGCGTTTGGGGCGGGTGCCGAGGCGCGGTCGCCTTGTGACACTCACGCGACACAAGCGTCGTCAGCGTTGTACGTGCAGGATATTTGATTCCGCCCGAAGCAGTTTCGCGACGGCCAATGTCGCGCACATGTTTTGTCCATTATTCTGTGCGGCGGGAAAGTCTGCTGAACCCATCTTTCGGACAACTTTCCTGGCGTGCTCTTGCCCAATGCTTCGGCCCGCCGCCCGCTACTTCAGGCGTCGTGGCGCGGTCGAGCCTTCAAATAAGCCGCGCGCGATGTCTGCCTGACTGCTCGCGGGCGGGCGCCCCCGCAGGCGTTTCGCGCGTCGGTTGCTGCTCCAATCGGTCAAGTCCTTGTCTTAGGATTTCAATTCCAGAAGGCACAGACGCAAAAGTCCACGGCGTCAGCTTCGGCTTGAACACCCACTGCGTCAGTATCTCCGCCCGCGCTTCCACGGCCGCGCTTCCCACGTTCCATCGTCCATCGTCGAGCACAGCGGCGACTGGAGCGGCGCGCGCGCGCAGACACCTCCCGGCGGAACCTGTTTTGCGCAGATCCATCGCCCCGCGGTTGTCCTCCAAGGACGCCCTGCGCGCGGAAGCGAACAACCAGGCGTTCACCAGGCGCGAGCGCCAGATCAGGGGTTCTACCAGATGTTCTAGGAACCAGATTACAAATGCGACACGTTTCTCTGATTTGCGAGATCGCGTTGCTATTTGGTGTGCCTGGCGAGCTGCCGCAGCCGCGGCGTTCTATGGCGCGCCCACTGTAGTGTTGGCTTTTCAACCAAAGCACGTTCGAAAGACGGATTTGCTCGCGCCGTGATCCAACAGCGACCTTGAGAAGATTTTTAACGCGGTCGTCAACGTCAACTGGGAAATCAAGGCTTTCTCGCGGGCGCCATTTCATGTTCTGGCACCTGGTCAGCCGCGGGCTCCACAGTTGACTTCGGCCAGCCCGCGGGGGGAACTCCCGCGAGCCACTCCGCCGTTGCTGCAGAGCCGCATGCTGCCGCAGCGCTGGCGACCACTGCCGCTTCCAATTCTGCCTCCAGTGCGCATTGCAACGATTAACGTAGCAGTCGTGCGTTCGCAGGCGCACGAGTAGACAGGCAATGATCGACTCCTGCCACCGCTCAGGCACAATGCAGCAGACGGCAGCCACGACGACGAGAACTTCACTGCGTCGCACCACCCTTACGGCGGAGGCCCCGTCGACAAGACGAACCCTCGGGGCTGCCAGACACTGACAGACGACAGCCGCGTCATTTCCAAATGTAGGGGCCCTCGCGAGTCCGACTGGCTCATTGGCTGCGACCGGATCACCGTCCTTGTCTACAACAAAAACTGCGACGGCGGTTGTCTGCGCGCGCTCGTCGCGCGCTATGGCCCTGCTCATGATTCTGTTTTGGCGGGCGACCGGCAGGGGCCATGCTGCCCCGAGATGCGTTGCGGGGCGGGGCGGGGGGCGAGTCCAAACTCATTCACGGCGCGGCGCCACTGCGCCGACGGCGCCGTCGCGCGCCCCGACCGCAGGGCCACGGCTAACCGCGCGATTCTCGGTTAGTTGACGCTCGGCGAGATGCCGCGCTGACAGGCGCGCGCTACCTTGATGGATTGCAATTGCCGCCGGCTGGTGCGCCGCGGAGGAGCGCGGAGAGGAACGCAGCGACATGTGGGATGTCCTACCGCATTTTCTCAGTCGTTGTAGTCAACGTCGCGCGCCGCACAAGTCACGATTGCAGGCGTTAGCCCCCGTCGACCAGGGCGCGCGCAGCATCGCCCGTCGAAGGGTTCTGATTGTTGTAATGCCTACAACGGGCGAACATTCCGCAGCGCATGCATATTGTGCACTATTCCACGCGCGCTGGATTCCATCGGAATTGACAGACGCGGTTTTTATGTTCTACATTGCGGCACCACAAAGCAGGCATGGCCATCCAGTGCACAGGGCGGCACCACCCCTTGATTCCAAGACAATTTCCGTCGCAGGAATGTCCGTCCAGGAGCGCCCTTCAAGGCGCACTGCTCAGCGCAATGATCGCAGCGCGCCCCCATCGTCCAACTCTTGAGCCATGCCGCTTCAGATTCAGCAGGTGCCGCGCCGACATCGCCGACGCGTGCGTCGCAAATGTGACAGTTTGCCACTATCTCGGGGATCAATGCGCGGCGGTGACTAGAGAGGCGGCCCCGGG